AAATTTGCAGTCTGCATTAAACCTTTCTGCCTTTTCTACCTTTATTTTCTGCATTATTATCAGTATTATTATTATAATTATTATTATTAAAGTTGTCTTTACTTATAGCTTTTTTGTTTATAGAGATGTTACGGGTCCCGGGCGTTACCGAGCACCACGCAACAATGAAGATTGTTTCTGTAGAAAAGTAAAAGAATGTATTGAAATGAGGCTGTTCGAACTGCTCGCGTCTCCTCCATTCACTGAACTCATTTATTCACAATCATTAACATCAACCATTTCAAATCAACCAAACAATCAATCACAAAGTCAAACAGTAAACAACGGTAAATAAATACTTCCTGTCCTAAATGAATGTATCTGGGTCTGTCCTTTATTAGGGTTTTTTTCTACGTGTGTAGGTGTGGTATATGTATGTGTGTGTGTACGTATGGATGTATGTGTATGGGTGTGTGTGTGTGTGGAGAGAGAATAACTGTGAACCTTTGTTAATCACATAAACATGAACAATATCATACCCATAATAACCTGTTCAACATCCTTATCTAAACTCTACAAATCAGTCAAGTGTTCTGGTAATCATTTAAAAAAAACATTCAGATGTCGGGAAAAACCGTCAACATGGCACAGCAAAACGCTAACGTCTTTATAACTACTGTTTCACAGCGCTTTAGCCGCTAGAGTCGCTAATAACTACCGTATCACAACGCGTTAGCCTTTAGCGTTGCTAATAACCACCGTACCACAGTGCATTAGCCGTTAGCCGCTAGCGTCGCTAATAACTACCGCACCACAGCGCGTTAGCCGTTAGCCGCTAGCGTCGCTAATAACTACCGTACCACAGCGCATTAGCCGTTAACCGCTAGAGTCGCTAGCAAAGCACAATCATATGGTGAATCGCGGACCTTCTAACCCTCTTAAAACTTCAATTTAAATACTCGAACCTGTCACTCAAGTGTCTTAACGCATCCCCACATACATGCTAATGTTTACGATCTTAATCATCGTGTTTTCACAGTAAACCAACCTGTAGAAAAGTAAAAGAATGTATTGAAATGAGGCTGTTCGAACTGCTCGCGTCTCCTCCATTCACTGAACTGCCGATAGGCGGAAGTCACTTGTCTCTCACCTTATCGCACAGCAGTGAAACTGGCCGCTCACCTAAGGTTCCGGTCCCCATAACAGATACACAGTAAGGCATACTGGTGACTTTCTGGCATTCAACCATTAAAATAAATTATGAAAAATAAAAAAATAGTGCTCAATACATCAGTTTATAAAGTGTTTGTTGTTTTCAAAATAAAGTTCTTTCACTCATTTATGAGGGTATCACAGAGACATGTAGTTTATTTAATTGGCTTGTTCTTAGGCTGCCGTCAAACCCAAATTTGATTACTCATAATTCGAGAAATTGTAACTTTTCGGGCTTTTTCTCAAAGATTCTCCAATCTTGACATCTTAATTCTTCTAATTTAGCCTTACTGGCTTCCGTCCCCTTTTTTATGTGTTTTGGTCCAGCCTAGGTGACACCTAGGGTGTCCTATTAAGCTGGGTTCTTTCAATGGGGTAGTGATAAAAATTCCTCATGTGGTAATTCTCGCTTCTACTCTTGCGAGTGGAGAATTCTTGCCTTTGCTTCCACAATACGGTCACTACTTACAATCCCACTGTTTTGGTATGAATAGGATATATCTAGTGATATATCTCTATTCCAATCACTCTCACACTTTCACAATCACACTTTTAACACGTGTTTTGCTCTGCAGAATTTTCTCAATCAGGCCTTTGTCCACGGCACAACACCGGACCCGCGCGTCTTCCTCGGAATTTAAACTACATCTAAGCTGTGTCCAAATTGGGCCAACGTGTTTAGTATGTAGGAGTAGGATCTAGCAGTAGCACGTAGCAGTAGCATGTAGTATGTGAGCGGGCAATTCGGACACAGCACTAGTAGTAGGACTCCGGCATCCTTCCTCGGAATTTAAACTATTTCTAGTAGGACTCCGGCATCCTTTTTGGTTTTTTATAAATTCTCTACGCGAAGCAAATCTCAATCAGTCCACGTTTCTTTTTATAAAAGACCAACTCACCACTTGTCTTTCCCCTTGGCTTCAGATTTCCATCAACCGTCGGATCCCAGCAGGCGGGTCGAGTCCAGTTCCTCAAAGAGGTCTTTAAGACTCATCCTAGAGAGTCTGCCGTGGCCACGGTCTTATCTGTCGTCCACCTCACCTGCTGGAATAGTCAGGTCTATTGGAATCCGGCTCGAAGGACCAAAGAAATGTTGGGTCTAAAACCTGCAACATTTACCTGATAACATATAAAGAAGAGAAAGACAATGGTATATACTCGAGGAGAATGGACAGAGATAGCATCAGGTACCATCTCGAAACCACTCTGAAAGGTATTTCCGCCCAGTCTCTTTATTTAGGGTTGTCCCTGGTTACACAATGTTTCTAAAAGGTGGGGGAAAAATATGTGCAGCAACGTAAGCATTCTCATAAAACATAATAATGAACAACTGTGACTATGTGAAGGTCAAGGCGACATCGAACGAGCTCCTTCTGATAAGAGCGGATCCTCCTCAATATTTCCCACGATTCACAGTGGAGGTTACATCACACACACACACACACACACACACACACACACACACACACACACACACACACACACACACACACACACACACACACACACACACACCTGCTGATAGGAGAAACGAGGTCACAGAGAAGATAAGAAACATTCATGTGCTGTGTAATTAAGCTATTGGAGAGAGAAGTTAGAAAACACTCTTATATGTGTAACAGGAGGTCAAAACAGTTTATACTTGTAGTAAACTCTTACATAAGAATATGAGGAATAATGATAACTTCTATATACATTTATGCACATTATTCTAACATATATGCACTCTTTTTCACAGAGCTGGTATGAGAAGATGTCTTGGCTAACTGGATGCAGTGAGGCAGGTGCTTTATTATGCTTTCCTTGTCTGCTTTTTCAAACCAAGGGAACTGATCAAGCTTGGATTCAGACCAGTATGGCAGATTTAAAGCATTTTTCAGAGAAAGTCAAATGGCATGAGCAAGCTAGGCGATTGCATAAAGTTCTGTGGTGCCTTTGAGCTCACCCTGAGAGGCCATGACAACCAGCAAACCCTGGTCAGAGGATCTTAGAGTCCTGATGGATCTATAAGGCTTCAGCAGGTCTCTGATATACGCTGGAGCTTGTCAATGCAAAGCTCTGAACACAAGAACAAGTAATTAAATTGGATTCTGAATTGAATTGAATGGTTAGCCAGTGTAAAGACCTGAAGATGGGTGTGATTTGGGACCATTTGGGTGATTCTGTCAGGAGCTTCGCTGCAGCATTTTGAGCCACTTGCAGGCGGTTCAAAGAAGAGGTATTTAAACAAGTAAACAAAGAATTGCAATAGTCCAGACGAGATGAGACAAAGGCATGAACAATCATCTTAAGCTCATTCCTAGACACTATGGGTCTGAGCTTGGAAATATTTCTCAGATGATAAAAAGATGAGCAAACCAGACCATTTACATGCTGCTCCAGACTTTGGGCCTGGCCCATCTGGACACCCAGGTTTTGGACGGAAGGTTTTACAGCAGAGGATATGATATCAAGGCTTTTCCTTACATTTGGCACAGCATGCTGGTATGGGTGCTGAGATAAAAACCTTTGTTTTGTTAGGGTTTAACTGGAGAAAATTATCTGTCATCCATGCTTTAATACAGTTCACACGATCAATTCAGTTGGACAACTTGGAGACATTATTTGGTTTAACAGACATGTCATCTGCATATAAATGATAAGATACTCCTTTGAAAGTAACAGATAACCCAGAGGGAGCATGTACAGGGAAAACAACAGAGGGCCCAGGACAGAACCCCGAAGGACTCCATAAGACAGGGTCCCAACTGCAGAGACAAATTTACCAGATGTTACTGAAAATGATCTACCAGACAAGTAGGAGGAAAACAAGTCTAATGCTGTTCCAGAGACACCAATCCACTGTCTTAGCCGCCAGACCAACACACTGTGCTCCACAGTATAGAAGGCAGCACTGAGATCCAGCAGGGCCAGCACTGAACCATCCCCAGCATCAGCCTTCATTAAAAAACATTAGTTACCCTGAGAAGAACAGTCTCTGTAGAATGCTTCTGACGGAAGCCAGATTAAAATTTGTCAAAAACATCGTGTTCATCCAGAACAGATGTGAGCTGCTTCGTGACCACCCTTACTAAGATCTTAGAAATGAAAGGCAACTTAGATAAAGGTCTGTAATATCAGGACGAGAGGGTTCAAGGTTTGATTTTTTCAGAATTGGGTGAACAGCTGCATGTTTGAAATAGGATGGGACAAAGCCAGATGTCAAAGAAGTATTGATTATGGACAGTAGAGAGGGAAACAATTACTTCTTTAAATAGACAGGTTGGGATAATGTCTAATGAACTGGATGATGTTTCCATACCGCCAATTAGTTTCTTGCAGGGAGATGGTGGGGAAATTTGTAAGGATTGATCGTTGGTGGGGACAAGGAACTGGAGGATAAAAAGAGGGGTGAGGTTTGAGCAGATATTGTTGATTTTTTCAATGAAGAAAGACAGGAAGCAATTGCAGTCACTGACTGATAAAATAGAGGCAACAGGTGCAGGAGGGGAAACAAGATTACTTATAGTGTCAAACAGGAGTTTTGGATTGCACCTACTGTTCGAAACAAGGTTAGAAAAATAGAAAACTGGCCTCTTTCACTATGTTGTTAAAATCTCTCAAGAGTTCTTTTAAGTAGTCGTAATACACAAGTAGATGTGTGGATTTCCATAGCCACTCCATTTTACGACAGGTACGTTAATAGACCGAATACTGTCATTTATCCAAGGAGTAATGCTTGTTTAAAAGTGCCAACCTGGACCTCTGCGGTGCTTTTTTATCCAAGACTTTAAGACAGTGACTGTTCACTAGTGCCATCCGGAGAGATGTCAAAGCGCTGGATCAGGCACGGGGCAGAATGCGCAGCTGGCGGGGACCGGCTTCTTCCCGTCGAAAGGCTCCACTGGCTGGAGGGAGGACAACGCACCCATCAAGCATGGCGGCGTGACCGACGCTTGCTGCGGCCACTCCTCATGGAGACAGACAAACAGTGTGAAATAGAGGATCAGACAACTTGACAGTTCAGGCCATGTTTAGCTACAGTCGGCAGTTCTTATTAGACATTAGAAAACAGTGTGGTAACCACCAACCGATAGTTCTAAATGAACTAAAGAGCTGCTGAGCATACTCGGTCTGTTACACCTACACCAATGGACCACAACGGACCACACTAACGCCGCCGAGACAGCAGCCTCGTCTGCAGCCTCGTCTGCAGCCTCGTCTGCAGGCACTGTGAGGCGGACTCGCAAGCGGTGTGACAGGGCAAGGAAGAGAGGGAAGCGCGGAGGAGCCAATGTGAGGCTAAAGGCTAACCCTACCAAACCTTCCATCTGGATGCTTGTGTTAGCGAACATACGCGCCCTGAGAGGAAAAGTGGATGAGATCAGCCTGTGGAGAACGTCTCATTGAAGAATGAGAGACTGCTGCATTTTTATGGAGACGTTTCTGACAGATAACATCACAGACGCTGCTGTTGAGTTGACAGGACTGACACTGTACATAACAGATAGATCAGCTGCATCCACAGGGAAAGGAACAGGAGAAGGCGTGGCTGTGTACACCAACAAAGCCTGGTGTCATGACGTCATGGAGATCGTTTCATTCTGCGATCAAAATGTGGAATACTTGATTTTAAAATGCCGCCCCTTTTACATGCCATGAGAGTTGACGGCTGCTTTTATTGTTGCTGTTTATGTGCCCCCCAGTGCAAATGTGAAGGATGCGATGAGTAAGTTGTACAGTGCAATCAGTGAGTTGCAACTGGCCCATCCTGATGCTTTTTATTTGGTGGGGGGAGATTTTAACCAGGCAAATTTAAAATCTGTCCTGCCAAAGTTCTATCAGCATGTTAAGTGTGCAACAAGGGGGACGAACACCTCGGACAAGGTGTACACTAACATAAAAAATGCTTATAGAGCAACCCCTCTTGCGCATATTGGAGGTTCTGACCATCTGACTGTGATGCTGATGCCCACCTATAGGCCAAGGGTGAAGCAGGAACCTCCAGTCACAAAGGAGATCAGAATATGGCCATGAGGGGCTAAGGACACATTGCAGGGATGCTCTGACTGCACACTATGGGACGTTTTCAAAGAAGCAGCAACATGTGAGGGCGTCACAGATCTACAGGAATATACAGCGTCTGTGACAGGTTATATAACCAAGTGCATGGATGATGTGACCGTAAAAAAGACGATTAAAGTACGTGCCTACCAAAAACCATGGCTGACCAGGAACACACGCCTACTACTGAGGGCCAGGGATGCTGCCTTTCGATCTGGTGATCCAGTGGCCAATAGGAAGGCAAGAAATGACCTGGATAGAGGCATTAAAGAGGCAAAAGGTCTATATGGGAAGAGCTTGGCAAGTCAATTTAATGACAACAAAGACTCTCGGCAGCTGTGGCAGGGGTTACAAGCTACAAGCCTGCTCCACAGCCAGTCCCCACTTACCCATCTCTTCCTGACAACCTAAATACTTTCTACACACGGTTTGAGACCACAAATGACAGGGAGGCTCAGAGATTTCCATCTTCATCCACAGATCAGGTACCCCAGCTATCCACCACAGAGGATAAGAGGGTATTTTCAAACATTAACCCTCGAAAGGCCACTGGACCAGACAACCTACCAGGATGGGTGCTGAAAGACTGTGCAGAGCAAGTTTTCACAGACATTTTCAACACCTCCCTTATACAAGCCAGAGTACCTGCCTGTTGGAAGAGCGCCACCATCATACCTGTACCCAAAAAACCCAGCCCAACCTGCATGAACGATTATCGTCCTGTGGCCCTCACTCCAGTCATTATGAAATGCTTCGAGAGGCTTGTCATGGAATGCATAAAAGCAGGCCTCAGTGCCGACCTGGATCCATACCAGTTTGCTTACAGACCTAACCGGTCTACAGAGGATGCTATTTCCACCATGCTCCACTTCACTCTGTCACATCTGGAAAACAAAAACACCTATGCCAGGATCCTATTCATAGACTTTAGTTCTGCCTTCAACACCATCATACCGCAGCAGCTGGTGGAGAAGCTGAAGGATTTGAATGTGGATACTGGCACCTGTAATTGGATCCTGGACTTCCTGACACAGAGGAGTCAAACAGTCAAAGTTGGCAACATCTCCTCAAAACCTGTTGGAGTTAACACAGGATCTCCTTAGGGCTGTGTTCTTAGCCCTTTATTGTCACTCTCCTCACACACGACTGCACGGCCAGGTTTAAAAGCAACCATATTATCAAGTTTGCTGATGACACGACTGTGGTCGGCCTCATCACTGATGAGAAGGAAGCTGCCTACAGAGAGGAGGTGGAGCAGTTAGCAGTATGGTGCAAAGCACACAATCTCGCCCTGAACACGGAGAAGACAAACGAGATGATTGTGGACTTTACGACCAGCACCAGGTCACCACACCATCCAATGTACATTGATGGCTCTGCTGTGGAGAGGGTAACAAGCACAGAATTCCTGGGAGTACTGCTGACAGACAATCTGGCCTCTAGCAGCAACACCACTGCCATCACAAAAAAGGCTCAGCAGCGTCTCTACCCCCTCCGTCAGCTGAAGAAAGCTGACCTCTCCATCTCAGCCCTGACCATGTTTTCCAGGGGTACCATTGAGAGCCTTCTCACCTACTGTCTCACCTCCTGGTACAGGAACAGCACAGCTGAGGAGAAAAAACAGCTACACAGGACTGTGAGAACAGCCGAGACGATCATTGGCACTACGCTGCCATCCCTGGCAGACATGTACCAGCAGCGCTGTTTGAGGAGAGCCACTGGTATCCTCAGAGACACAACGCAGCCCTCTCACAACCTCATCTCCCTTCTGCCATCTGGCAGAAGATACAGGAGTATCGGTGCCAAGACGGAGAGAATGAAGAACTGCTTCTTTCCACAGGCAATCAGATTTCTGAGCCCCAATCTCCTTAGCATACGAACTGGGGGTACTTTTTAAATGACTAGTTCAAGGTTTTATTATTCAGCTTTAGATATAGTAGAGGTCTTTCTGCACTGTTTGTTTTATTGTTTTATTCTTTTATGAATTCCTGTCTCAAACTGGGAGAAACATAATTTTGTTTATTTTTCTGAGACTGCTTGCAGATGGAAAAGTAAATGACAAATAAAGCAATCTTGACGAATACAGGGAACACAGGCGCCATCTTGCTTCCGCTTCCCAGTATCATGAATCATGGGGGGAAAGACAAAGATAGAGTTGTATGTGATGAAGTAAATTTGATTCTCTTTTTGGGCTGGTCTGTCACAGCCCTGGCTGGAATTCCTCAGCCTCCTGCTCCTCTGCTTCCACCCCCACCTTTGCAATCAAGACACCTGGCCAGATCACACACCTGCATCTCATTAGCAGCTCTTCAAATACCCTGGCTTTCCCTTCACACGCTGCCAGATTATTCAGTCTACTCCCTGGTAGTGAACTGGCTGCTCTGCTCAGAGTTTTTCCCCTGAGACCTGTTTTCCTGCAAAACTAACTGTTTTTCCCTCTGCCTCAGATCCAGAAGATTCAGCCTGTCCAGCATCAAGCCTGCAGCTAAAACCCCTTCACCACCTATGGAAGCACAACTCTGCCATAACTCAATCTGAACTCAGACTCTGCCTGCCACTGCCTGTAATCATTAAAGAACCCCGTTCCTCCGTCATCAGCCTGTTGTCCTGTCTGCTCTTGGGTCCAGTATTATTACCATACACCACAGAATATCAGAATCTGGCCCCATGGACCCAGCAGACCCAAATGCTCTCCAACAAGCCCTAGCCTCTCAAGGTGTGCTAGTTGGCCATCATGAACAAGCCCTGCAGACCATCATGGAAACTCTTTGCAACCTCTCTACACATGTCGCTGAACTTGGAACACAGTTAACCCAGGTATCCACTCAATTATCAGCTCCAACTCCCTCTTCTACTCCTGCTACCTCCTCAAATTCTCCTCCTGAAGTCTCCACACCCTCTCAGTCGACTAGAGAGCCATATATCCCAATCCCACAACATTATCCCGGAGACCTTGGGGAGTGTGGGGCCTTTTTTTAAAAATGTTCCCTAGTGTTTGAACAGCAGTCATTAACCTATGCCATTGCTAGATCTCGTGTAGCCTTTATTATGGGGTTACTTTCAGGTAAAGCTTCCAAATGGGCCTCAGCTGCTTGGAATTGTAATTCACCCATTTGTGACTCTGACTCCCTCTTTGTTTTTCTGAAATGAAACATATTTTTGATCATCTTGTGCAGGGAAAGGAGGCAGGTCAGCGCTTGTTAGACAGGGGGTATCCTCTGTGGCACAATATGCCTTGGAGTTTAGGATTTTAGCAGCTGAAAGCGGGTGGGATGAGGTTTCACTGAGGGCAGCTTTTTATCATGGATTAAATGATAATATCAAGGATGAATTGGCTGCTAGGGATGAATCTGACAGTCTAGAGTCCCTAATTTCCCTTTCAATCTGCCTTGATAATAGGCTGCGTGAACGACACAGAGCTAAAGCTACTCATATCCCTACTTTTAGGGCCCCTTCCCCTTTTCAGTCCTTGCCCCCACGCTTCCCAGGGTCTCTGTGTGCTACCGAAGCTTCCCCTGAGTCACATGATTCCCCATCAGCAGAGGAACCCATGCAAGTGGCTCGACCACACCTCACTCCAACAGAACGGCAGCGTCGTATGAACTCAGGCCTCTGCATCTACTGTGGCAATTCTGGACATTTTCTGGCTACCTGCCCCCAGCAACCAAAAGCCGAGGCTCATCAGCAACCAAGGGGTCCCTGATGAGCCACACCACCTCCTCCATAGTGGCCCCTCCCAACCGAATATATCTTCAGGCCTCTCTCCTCTGGAACAGTGAGTCAATCCCTCTGATTTCATTAGTTGATTCTGGGGCTGATGATAATTTTATTGATTCTGCTATTGTGAGCCAGGCTGGCATTCCCACTGAACCCTTAGATTCCCCCAAGACAGTTTGTACTCTTGACGGAAAGTTATTGGCTAAAGTGACCCATTGCACCACCCCTATTACATTCTTAGTTTCAGGAAATCACCAGGAAACAATCAGTTTTTTGTTCTCCCTTCACCTCAGGTCCCCATTGTTCTTGGTTTACCCTGGCTTAGGTTACACAACCCCCACATTGATTGGTCTCAAGGTGCAATTGTTAATTGGAGTACTTTCTGCCACTCAAACTGTCTCAAGTCAGGCCTAGCCCCTAGCCCTTCTCCAATGACTTCACTCCCTGAACCTCCAGATTAAACCTCAGTGCCTCCAGAGTATCATGATTTGGGTGAGGTATTCAGCAGATCACAAGCCCTTTCCCTTCCCCCTCACCTTCCTTATGACTGCTCCATTGATCTGCTCCCTGGGGCCCCCTTACCATCCAGCCATCTGTACAACCCTTCTAAACCTGAACAGGAATCCATGGAGAAGTACATTCATGAATCTTTAGCTGCTGGTCTAATCCGCCCCTCTTCTTCTCTTCTTGGTGCTGTTTTTTTTTTTGTGGAGAAGAGAGACAAGTCCCTACGCCCCTGCATAGACTTCAGAGGTTTAAATGCCATCACTGTCAAAAATAAGTACCCACTTCCCCTTATTGATTCAGCCTTTGAACCCCTGCAAAATGCTACAGTCATTTCCAAACTGGACCTGCGCAATACATACCACCTAATTAGAATCAAAGAAGGAGATGAGTGGAAGACAGCATTCAACACCCTGCTGGCCCACTTTGAATACCTAGTTATGCCCTTTTCTTCCAGGCTCTAGTAAATGACGTGCTCTGGGACATGCTCAACAAGTTCATCTTTGTTTGCCTGGATGATATCCTCATTTTTTCCAGGGACATGCAGGAGCATGTGCAACATGTCAGGCTAATTCAATCAATCAATCAATCAAACTTTATTTATATAGCACCTTTCATGCTTTTAAGCAGCAACACAAAGTGCTTTACAAAGAGGTAAAAACAAACAACGTTAAAAAAGAAAAAACAAAACAAACAACAGTAAATATAGGGCACTTAAATAGGCATAAAACCCGTCCCTTCCCACCCACAGCAGCATATACAGGCATGCACAGCAGCCCACCCCACACACACATACACGCACACACATATCCACACACCCACACAGTAACTGTCAGTAAAAACATGGCTAGGCACTGATGATTCTGGTAAGGAAAGACCACCTATGGGAGCCGTCCACACCGAGAGGAGCCACAGCCCACCCCCACAGGGAGCACCGCCCCTGAGACCCCCTGACCCAGACAGCCCGGGTGCACCCTGCACATAGTGCAGAGCCCCCTAACCGTCCGGGCCTGGACGATCCCAAGGACCGCGCCCCCCGGGGGCGGACCAGACATACCTCCCAGTGTGGAGGGCCCCCACGAGGAAACTCTGGAGCTAAAAAGACTAGGGCATAGAAGGAATTAAAATAGTATTAAAATATCTAAATGACGTAGAAATGTGATTAAAGTAAAGGATAAAATAAACTAAGACCAAATTAGAATAATGTTAGAATATCTAAGTGACATAAAAATGTGATAAAAATAAACTAAAACAGTTAAATCAGCTAAAAGCCAAACTAAAAAGAGTTCTAGTTCTAGTTCTAGTTCTAGTTCTCTGCAGACTCCTCGAGAACAAACTATTTGTTAAAGCAGAGAAATGCGAATTCCACGTCCCTTCAGTGAGCTTCCTGGGCTTCATCATTGAGCAGGGGCAGTTAAAGGCAGACCCAGCCAAAACCCAAGCAGTGAGAGACTGGCCCACACCTTCAAACCGTAAGCAACTGCAACGCTTTCTACATTTTGCCAACTTTTACAGACGCTTCATTAGGAACTACAGTCAGGTTGCCACTCCACTCACCCAACTCACTTCCACCTCATCTCTCTTTGCCTGGACCTGAGCTGAAACGGCTTTCACCAAGTTAAAACAGCTGTTCTCCTCAGCCCCTGTCCTGACCCATCCTGACCCCCATCTTCAGTTCATTGTTGAGGTGGATGCATCAGAATATGGAGTTGGTGTAGTCCTTTGCCAGAGATGTCCCTCAGATCAAAAGTTACATCCCTGTGCCTTTTTCTCCCATCGACTCTCACCTGCTGAACGTAATTATGACGTTGGCAACCGTGAGTTATTAGCTGTGGTTCTGGCATTACAGGAATGGAGACACTGGCTAGAGGGAGCTGAGCAACCATTTATTGTCTGGACTGATCACAAAAATCTAGCTTATCTACATTCAGCCCGGAGGCTCAATTCTTAGACGAGTCAATACACCGATTGACCCCAAAAAAATTGCAAAAGTTTGTTTTTTGGTGGTTTTATGTTGCATTGGGTCTAGTCTACAACATACTAAAAGTTGGACAAGATTGGAGCATGGGAAAGTGTCTAATTTCGAGGATGACTTTTGTCATTTTTTAAGTCATTTTTCATACAATGTGAAAACTACAGAAAGCAATAACTCGGCCAATTTTTAAGATAAATCAATGAAACTTGATTTTTTACCTAGGTTTTCAGGGGCAATCTTTCATATTAAAGGGTTGTCAGTGATGTTGGATCACCCATTGGCCATATCTAGGGGTAACCCTACATCATATGCACCCACCCGGGTTCAAAAAAGGGAATACTTCTGCCAAATTTTTTTACGTGTCATCATCATCATCATCATCATCATCATCATCTACCACTGGATCATTTGCTATATTGTCACAGTTGCCATCTTGGCAATGTCCGCACGCACTGGTACACTGTAGCCCATGCTTTCTGCAGGTACACCTTAGGGTATTGCATCCTTCTGAACAGTTGCAGTGCATCATCTTAATCAGAGCTTCTGGAGCTGGGCTTTTGTCAGTCATCACTGGAAAGGGTTTGTCCACTTCTACCTTCCATCCCCAATCACATGGCTCCATCTCTTCACAACAACCCATCCACTCCATAACCTGGTAGTAAGTCCGCAGGGAATGAAATTTACAGGCGGAGGCAGTTGGTGGGACACGTTCGGGCGTGACAAACATTTTCGCTCTCGCAACTTTTTTGCAGAGCATGTTGTATCTGAGAGATGCCAGGGAGTCCTTCTGATCTGCATTGAACAATGCTACCATCGCCGTACAACCTTTGGTTTCCATCACATCTCGACTTTGCTTTGGTGTAGAGAATGCTTTTGAACAGTCTTTCATTGCCTTTTCTTTCTTGATGATTCGTTGGAACCCCACTTTCTTTCCAATACCAAATACCCTGGAGACCGAGTCGCATCCAGTAAAGGCATGCAGAAACAACAGGTCATTGCAGACTGCTTCACCAAGCACCTGTTTGAGGACCTTGATATTATAGACGTGTGATTTCGCCTTGTCAGAGCAGAAATAGAGTTCAACGCACTTGGAAGCATCTGCATGGTAGAGTAAGAGAACAAGAAGGTCTGTGTCTTCTCCAATAAGGGTGGTCGGTCTGAAAGCAGACATGCTGATGGCTGCCTTTGCGATTTCAACGTCGGCGTAACCTTCCGCTTGAATAACGTTGCAGCCATTCTGACGCATTCGTTCCATGATCAGCTTGTTTGCCCCATTTGACAAGAGGTTCTCCTTTTTCCCGATAAATTTGGTCACCTCTGTAATGTTCACCTTGTTTGCTTTCAGCTTTTGACTTCTCCGCTGATGAGTATAGTTCTTTATACTTGGTCCATCCCCATAACCATCAAACACGACAGTCGCCCTGCCATAGTGTTTGACTGTGAATGAGGTGTAGTGCTCTGCAATCGAACTGTAGGTACTTCCTTCCGTCCATTTCAAGCGGTGAAGAAGAGATCCTCCATCTAGTACATATTGCTCTGTAACTGGAACCGTTTGTGTCACAGCAATGGCTGATTTGGTTTTAACATAGTTCCTGATTGCTTCCGCAAGCAGCGGTTTTTCCGCTTGACGCAAGATGTGCTTTCCTTCGAACAAGGACATCGGATAAAGACAGAGTTCATACGACATGACTTCGTCTAGCCGAAGATCACCCGTCTGTGAGACAACCAGGAACCTCTGAAATAAGAGAGTTGGGTCAATGCTACGATCTTCAGACACTTTCACGTTCTTGCTGGATGCTAATGTCTTCACCTTCAAACTCCGTTTGTGAGAGTAGGAGAAAACCGATTGCCCGTCCATCTTCTGTACAACGTCTTTTCCTATTTCGAAAATGTCCTGAACATTGACGTCCTCGTTGGCATTAATCCCTGTGATAATATTGCGTAACGATTCATCAGCTGAAAAAGGTGTGAATTTGTCTAGTTTTTCTGCAATTTTACCGAGGTCTGCCTCATCTCTGCTCACCTGAGAGGTGGACAATTCCTTATGTTGTTCAGCCGTTGTGTAATTTCTCGTGGTAAGTTCTTGCATGGCAAGGTTGTAAGCGGACGACACAGTGGAAGACATGGCCCAAACAGTTCTCTGGTGCTCCGACATCCCACTTCCTCGCGTCAGACCCCCTTGGGTTTTAAGTGAGCGCATTAGCGTTTGCTCGATCACGAGATCGGAGCCAAGACCAGCCCAGTATTGGCTTCTGCGTCTGATTACGTGAAACCCAGACTGGAACTTCTGATGAACTTCAGGGTTGTCCTCCTTCAACGCATGCATCTTCTGGAGATACAGACGAGCCGACTTCAGATAATTCGGATGGCCAGCGGCTGCGAATATCAGCAGGCAAGCTGAGACGGCCCCGAGATGCATCTCCCAAGACCCCATTCGATCAGCTGCAACTAGTGCCCTAGCGATCCCTAGCATGTGCTGATAGTTTACCCACAGTTTGCTGGTCTTGGACGTCCTTGCCAAGTCATCCTTTTTCAAAGCTAGAGTGTTGTGAATCGTGCAAACGCAATCTGATTCCAACAACGACTCCAAGTCACATTCACCAGTCTCCATCAGCATGTACAGTCTCTCAAGTCCATCCACTTGGTCCTGAAAACCAGGGTTATCCTCCAGGATTTTCGCAACAATCTGACGTGTAAGACACTGATATACCAGCAGGTGACCACGAAACGCTCGTTGGACTGCCTTTCCACTCATCATGTGCACAACAGCATTTTCACCATACACTGTCTCCATGATCTCCTTGAGTCCACTGCCATCCATCAAAGTGCCAATAGCACCCAGTAAATTCATGAAGGTATGAAAGCTACCAAGTAATAGTATCACATTCCTGATTGGACTATCATCTGGAACAGCGTTCACGATTTCAGACGCCTTCCAAAATAGCGGCTGATCGAAGGTAATGATAGTTGGCATGTTGTGTTTTGACGAAAGACTGCATAGGTAATCTAGTGTGGACAAGATACAGGTTTTGTCTCCAGGGTTCATATCGATCATTGGTAGAAACTGTACAGAGGATTTTCCTGGATACTCGCACTCCTTATGCAGCAGGTGCATCATGCCATTCCAACTGGGAGTACTATGGTGGAACCGAAAGGACATTTCCCAGCAAATGTCCACTTTGCGATCACATACATCAGATGAGTATGAGAGGGCCTGAAATTCAATGTTTCTGTTGACATGTTGTGCGTAGCGGTATTCTATGATGTCAATTTTCGTCCTTTCAACAACTTTCAACTCAGCCATTTTCTGTCTTGGTATGCCATAACTGACTTGCTTCCCTGGCGTGATAGCTGCTATCATACCCATCCCATGAAAGCTACCCTTTCCATCCAAGGTTATGATGTTATGATCCACGTTGTCTGCGGCAACTAACAAAGACTGATTAAGAATCTCCACGTCACCCAACACATCCTCAGCAAGTGAACATGCCGCGTTCTCTTCAAACCTTTGTACCTCTGGGTATGATGAAGCAAACCCCATGGTTGAAAGACTGTCCATCAAGAATCGTGACCTGTACAAGTGGTGCATTTGCACAGCGAGACCAAGCTGTAAAGGCGCAATTACAGCTCTTGGACTTACAGCCTGAACAACAGCTTGCCCGATGCCAGCAATCTTTCTAGTTGTATCCTTCCCAACAAACAGATGCTGCAGCAAGAATCGCAGACTTGGAGGGATAAAATCTAACGCTGTGTTAAGGTTCAGTTCGGCCAGAGTTGGATACGTCTCCCCAATTGGCACAACTGTCGTCTTAATGTCACTTTTGATGAGTTTTGCTGCGGTAAGGATAATTGCGTGTTTCTGTGCTTCCTCGTTGCCTTCCCGAGGTGAATTGTAGTATTCACGAAGAATGTTGCAGGTTTTTTCCCTGAAGGTCACAATGTTTTTGACACCACTCCGACCTTCTGTCACGAATATGGAGTTTCCATATCGACTTATCAGCTTTTCCTTGAGGTACTGATTTCCATACGCCGTGGATTTACTGTGTTGCAAGTATTCTCCCATCTTAGCGACAAGGTCTGATATCGTCAGTTGTTCCTCATCATTTTCCTCGAGGAATACGCAAACCCTTTCGAATGCCTCGTCCTGGTCACTGTCCTTGGGTCTTCCACTTTTTCGTCATTTGGCTGATTCAACTGACGTGAACTGTCTTGGGATGCCCCGCATTCTGCGAAAGTTGACGTTACATGACTGGTGGTAAACACAGTCTGCCGCATGAAGATCACCACCAAAATATTCGATCCGGCCTTGAACAGCAATGGCCCACTCATCCCCTCTTGTTTTGCAATGAACCAATATAGTTTGAACAAATGCATCTGTCTTCACATAGAAAATCCTTTCCTCACTCTTTCGTTTAGGGTCTACATTCGTAGCATCAGTTCCACAGAAAAAACAATGTGTTTTACTGTCAAACGGTCCCAGAGATACACGAGCACTCCTTTTCACTGGCCCAGCAGAATTGTCCTTGTTAGCAGCAATAGCAATGTCCTGTTTGTTGATGTGGCTAACCTGACATGTCTTGTGAACACTAGTCCCAGCTTCAACCCTGACTTTCACACCTCTTTCGATGCTTGCACGATTGATACCTTCCGCTCCTTTTTCTCGAATCACCACCGTCTCCTCACAGTCCAAAGCCCTAAAGGACAGGTTTCTTTGCTGATTGAGCTCATGTTCTACTCTTAATTGAAAATGTTGTAGTTGAGTATGGGAAAACACCAGATTTTGATAACGTCAAAGTACCCCTACCTCCTTTGGAAAAAAATGCTTTTGCTGGTTTATGTTAGTCTGGGTCTAGCCTACAACATGAGAAAGCCACATTGGTATGCCTAATAATACTCTTAACTGATAGAACACAGAGGGAGGGCACCTCTGCACACGGGACCTCGGTTTAACGTCCCATCCGAACGACGGTGCATTCTTGGTCTGGTTCCTCCCCTTCGGCCTTTTCAGCTTGGGAAACCCTGCCAGGAACTAAAGTTCCCGCTGACATAGCCCTCCGGATCGTAAGAATACTCAATCCCGCCCACCACGTAAAGGTGACGGCACACGGGCGGTAACAACCCTTTAATATGAAAGATTGCCCCTGAAAACCTAGGTAAAAAATCTAGTTTCATTGATTTATCTTGAAAATTGACCGAGTTATTACTTTCTGTAGTTTTCACATTGTATGAAAACTGATTTAAAAAATGACAAAAGTCATCCTCGAAATTAGACACTTTCCCATGCTCCAATCTTTTCCAACTTTTAGTATGTTGTAGACTAGACCCAATGCAACATAAAACCACCAAAAAACAAACTTTTGCAATTTTTTTGGGGTAGGGGTACTTTAGCCTTATATTGACCCGTCTATCTAGACAAGCTCGTTGGGCCCTCTTCCTTGGAAGATTTAAGTTCTCCCTAACCTATCACCCCGGGCTCAAGGAACATCAAGCCTGATGCCCTCTCCCGTCAATCTGCCCCTGAGATTGAGGAAACTCAGCTTGAGACCATACTTCCCCCAGCTTGTGTTGTGGCAGCAGCCCAGTGGGAAATCGAGGACACAGTAAGGGAGGCACAGCGCACACAACCAGACCCAGGTAATGGACCACAAAATTGTTTGTTTGTACCAGATTCTGTTCGTTCAGAGGTGCTACAGTGGGGGCACTCCTCTAAGCTGGCTTGTCACCCTGGTATTTACCGAACCCTAACCTTCATCAAGGAAAGGTTTTGGTGGCCCACCATGTCCCAGGATACTCGTGCCTTTGTGTTCCTCTGTTCTGTCTGTGCTCGCAGCAAACCATCCCACCAGGCTCCCGCTGGATTGCTGCGCCCCCTGCCCATCCCTAGTTGTCCTTGGTCACATATAGCTGTGGACTTTGTCTCAGGTTTGCCTCCTTCTGAAGGTAACACTACCGTCCTTACCATAGTGGACCGGTTTTCCAAGGCTGTGCACTTTGTTCCCCTAACCAAACTCCCCACAGCTACTGAGACGGCAGACCTTCTAGTGATGCATGTGTTCCGCCTCAATGGCATCCCTCAGGACATTGTTTCTGACCATGGCCCACAGTTCACGTCCCAAGTGTGGAAAGCCTTCTGTCATGCTCTTGGAGCCACCACCAGCCTCACATCTTGGTATCACCCTCAGACAAATGGTCAAACGGAACAAGCAAACCAGGATTTAGAGGCTGCCCTCCGATGTGCAACTTCCCATCATCCTGCATCCTAGAGCACTCATCTTCCCTGGGTTGAGTATGCCCTCAATTCCATGACCGACTCTGCTACAGGTATGTCACCATTTATGGTATCTCTGGGTTTTCAACCTCCCCTTTTCCCAGCTCAAGAAGAGGATGTAGCAGTCCCCTCTGTTCAAGCAAATCTACGGTGCTGCCGGCACATCTGGATGGTTGCTCAAGCTGCACTCCTCCTATGCTCCTCTACGAGAAACCAAAGGATTGCTGACAGACACAGAAACCCAGCACCTCAATACCAACCTGGACAAAGGGTCTGGCTCTCCTCCCTGGACCTCCCTCTACAAGTCGACTCCCGTAAGTTGGCTCCCAGATTTATTGTCCCTTTTGAGATTGACAAAATCATAAACCCTACAGTTGTCTGGCTCAAGCTCCCTCCAGTCTTGAGGGTCCATCCTACATTCCATGTGTCTCTGCTTAAGCCCGTATCTGTCAGACCTCTGTGGCCTCCGGCCGATCCCCCACCACCCCCCAGGGTAATTGATGACCACCCTGCATTTACTGTACGGAGGCTTCGGGATGTGCGCCGCCGTGGTCGTGGATTCCAATATCTGGTGGATTGGGAAGGATATGGTCCTGAGGAGCGTTCATGGATTTCACGTAAGCTCATCCTTGACCCCCAGCTATTACATGCCTTCTATCGAGAGTTTCCAGATAAGCCTGGTAGAGCGCCAGGTGGCGCCCGTTGGGGGGGGGTCCTGGGGTCCTGTCACAGCCCTGGCTGGAATTCCTCAGCCTCCTGCTCCTCTGCCTCCACCCCCACCTTTGCAATCAAGACACCTGGCCGGATCACACACCTGCATCTCATCAGCAGCTCTTCAAATACCCTGGCTTCCCCTTCACACGCTGCCAGATTATTCAGTCTACTCCCTGGTAGTGAACTGGCTGCTCTGCTCAGAGTTTTTCCCCTGAGACCTGTTTTCCTGCAAAACTAACAGTTTTTTCCCTCTGCCTCAGATCCAGAAGATTCAGCCTATCCAGCATCAAACCTGCAGCTAAAACCCCTTCACCACCTACGGAAGCACAACTCTGCCATAACTCAATCTGAACTCAGACTCTGCCTGCCACTGCCTGTAATCATTCAAGAACCCTGTTCCTCCGTCATCAGCCTGTTGTCCTGTCTGCGCTTGGGTCCAGTATTATTACCATACACCACATGGTCAGAGACTCCCTCCCTACTCTCAGTAAAGAACATCACAGCTGTGTGCCTCAGCAGCTGTTGGCCAAGAAGCGCCGCACCTTGGGACCAGATGAACTGCAGAGGATAGCTATAGAGGTGTGATGGGAGCTGTGGTGCTGGTAACACAATGTCCTACTTTACCTGTGTGTCGGTCATGTCCTGTTGTTTATTCATGTCGGACAGCTTGATCTATAAGCATTTTGAGTCCAGTGCAAATTTCCCCAAAGGGACAATAAAGTATATCCTATTCTATTCTATTATTAATACATATTTTCAGAATAAGATTCAATAATGTGGACATGACCTGAGTGTGTTGTATAGGTCTTTTAAGGTGTTAAAATCATAGTTAGGTGAACAATTAGACAAGACCCTTTTATGTAGGTCCTGTATGATATCATCTGTCTTTTTATAGGTTTGTGACACCATCCTGGGCCATGCAAAGGAGAGGTTTGCTTTCACCAAACATCTAATCAGTGCTACACTGCTTCAAGGAGGCAGATTTCAGGAGATTTCAGATTTCAGTTCCCTGAAGCAGCGTTCAACACCACCTTGGGGGCCTATCCAATGCTGAAGAAGGGCAAGCTAAAAACTGAAATGTCACTCATCTTCAGCACAACACAGAGTTCAGAAGTTGCACTTGTGCTATGGCTCTGTGCCAGCTCTTCATGAGCAACAATCTTCAGGACACCTTCTCAGAGACTGTGGCATTGATAGAATAGAATAGAATAGAATATTCCTTTATTGATCCCCCATGGGGGAAATTTTTTTATCACAGCAGCAACACAGACAAAGTGCAAAAATGCAGTTATATAAATAAAGATCGTATATTAAGAACTTAAATAAATGTTCTAATTAAGAAAAAATTTAGAAAAAGGAAAAAGGGAGAAGAAAACTAAAACTATATACCAGAAAAAAGTGGTGGTGTGAGTCCAGTTTTATTGCAGTTTGTTGTAAAGTCTTATTGCAGAAGGGAGGAATGACCTGCGGTAGCGCTCCGTCTTACAAGGTGGGAGTCTAAGTCTGCTGCTGAAGGAACTGCTTAAAGCCCCCACAGTCTGGTGCAGTGGGTGAGAGGGATTGTCCATAATGGATACAAGCTTTGCTAACATCCTCCTCTCACCCACCTCCTCCAGGGAGTCCAAGGAGAAGTCCAGGACAGAACTGGCCCTCCTGACCAGTCTGTTCAGTCTCTTCCTGTCCCTCTCGGTGCTCCCTGCCCCCCAGCAGATCACTGCATAGAAAAGTGCAGATGCTACCACAGAGTCATAGAAAGTCCTGAGCAGAGTCCTGCACACTCCAAAGGACCTCAGTCTCCTAAGCAGGTGGAGACGACTTTGGCCCTTCTTGTACAGGACGTCTGTGTTTGTTGACCAGTCCAGTTTATTGTTGAGGTGGACACCCAGGAATCTGTAGAACTCCACCATCTCAATGCCCAGACCCTGGATGTTCACTGGAACAGTCTGAGGTGTCCTCCTCCTGCGGAAATCCACGGCCATCTCCTTTGCCTTACTGGCATTGAGCTGGAGGTGGTTTGTGCCACACCAGTTGACAAAGTCAAGAGGAAGGAGGAGAGCACTGTCCCCTGTGGAGCCCCCGTG